GGACATTCTGACTGGTACGTTTCAAGAGTAGTAGAAGAGTCATAAAACGTCGAAACACTGCAAAAGACTTTATAAGACTTTTAAAAGTCATAGACTCTGCAGCTGCACCGTTGTCAGGATGCTATATGCAACGTTTTCAAGTGTAGGATAGGGCGTGAACAGTTACAGAGGTGGTTTTCAATCTGAGATAACTCTGGAAAAGTAATAGATAGCTTGTTAGCTTTGAATCGACATGTTCTTATCAACTGAACAGTTCAAAAAAGTCAACTTCTATCAACAAAAAAAATTGTTCAACAGTTCGTCAGATCGAAAAGATCAAACTATTACACTATTACTATTGAGTCCTCTGCATTTACCTTCGATACAAGTTAATATGAAGATTGATGGCAAGCATAGTTCAATCTGTCTGAAATCTTCGAGAAAAATTCGTTCGAATTATTCTCAAAACCAGATTCAGCCAACTGATTTACACTTAGTTTTATTTGATGAATAAAAGTATAATTTCATTCAGTAGTGACATAGTGTTGCAAAATAAAAATTTCACATATATCTGAGCTCTGAAATATCTTTTTGCTAATTTTTATGTAACAGATGTATGTTGAGTTACTTTAAATATTTGCAAAAAGTTAGCCCTATAGAGATTTATTCTATTGAACTATTGATTAGCGTATGGTACAAAAAGGATAAAAGTTTTTACTGCGTGTGTTGCCATTTACAAATACTACAATGCCGAAGAGTATGTTTGAAAACTAAGTGGTGTATCTTGTAAAATCCTTTTCACGCTACAAAAATTAGATGCAAAGTTTTTCTTGATCATGCTTAAGTTTTTCAAAAAGTTGGGTTTATTCATTGTTAGCAACATGAGTTAGTACGAACATAGAAACAAAAAATCCTCTTGTAATGGAATGAGAAGTTCAAAAACCAATTCTAAATAGTAAAAACTCTTATTAAAGATATCCTGATGATAATAAAGCAAAAACTCTCGTTCAGGAACATGAGAAAACCTCTAGAGGACTGGCTTTTGAAGTTAGATTATTCTGAAAATTCTCCTGTAGATATAGATTGTGGTGTGGAGTCTATTTTCGAGCCAAGAAATACGGGCTGTTTCCAACCGAAAAACTCAGAGAATAATGGTAGAAATTTGACAGCAGGAACTCGGTGGCTAGTTACGACCAGCACTAGAAAAATCCGATTACTGAATTCCTGCTTCCAAGTTTCTAACATTCCCCAAGTTTTCCGACCACCAGTTCACGGATCCAAGCGTCTGAATTATTGACCTGCGTTATAAAATTCTTAGCTTCTCCGTCGTAAAGTTAGAGCATTATTCACTAATTATATTGCAATTAATTAGCTAATTAAGTTTAATTAGGTGTTAGCTTATATTTTCATCTATATTCATAGGAAGAAAACTTGTTCAAAAGAATAATCTCTAAAAAGAATTAAAGATGGACATGTCCCGTGTTCTCTGATGTTGCCCGCATAATACATGTTAAGAATGAATATAAACTATTTCATTATTTTAGAGTCATCATATTCGTGTTGCTGCTTTAACAGCATTATGTTCTGTTATTGAAAAACTTCTTTCATCCAATGATTTAGATGATGGACAAATAAAAATGCGTGATAATCTCTTAAAAATATTACGTGTAAGTCCATTTATTTATATTTGAAGAAAATGTTTTTCTTTTTTGTTTGATATTAAATTAGGAACATGTACATGATGAAACAGGATTTATTCGTCAACATTGTTTACAATTATGGACATCACTTGTTATAGAAAAAAAAGTTCCTGTTACACAATATCTTGAAGTATTTGAACTCGGACTTGCTCGATTAATAGATATAGATTGTGTAGTTCGAAAAGATGCAGTAACACTTGTTATGCATATGATTCTTAATAATCCTTATTTTGATTTTGTAAGTTTATTCAATTAAGATTTTTTTTTTTGTATTTTAATAATAAATTTTTCTTTGTAGGACTCAACTCGAGCTGAACTTGAAAAAGCACAAAATGATGCTGAAACAAAATTAGCTAAACTTCGTCAAGAATTTGAAAAATTACATAAAATAATGGAAGAAAAAAAGCCTCAATCGGATGATGAAGATAGTGGAGCAGAAGATAAAAATATTGATGACAATAATGAAATGAATGTTGATAATAATCAAGTAAATATTTAAATGAAAAAAGTTTTTTAATAAAATTACATTGTTTTTTTTTCTTAAATAGAAAAAAGAAATAGAAGAAAATAAAGAATCATATGAAGATCAATCATTTCAAGTAATGTCAAATTGTTTTGAAATTCAAGAACAAGCAATACAACAAGAAGAAATTATTGCTTTCTATAAAGTAAATAGTTTTTTTTTAATTACAAACTTCTTTTTGGTTTTTAATGAATTTCTTTTATTTTTAGGATAGTCTTCGATTTATGGATTTAATTGAACAAGCAAATCGACATGTTGTTAATTTATTTAATTCTTCAACAGTAGCTGATTGTAAAGAAGCTATTCATTTTTTTGTTAATCTTCATCATTATCGTCTTATTTTGCCAAATATCGAACAAAATTTACGTTCAATGTTTA